AGGCCGCTCACCAGAAAGTCGCTCCCAAACCTTCTAGGTAGTATTCAGCGAACGCTGTTTCCATGACTGCATCAACGGCGAAGTTAAAGAGGAAAGGTGACAGCGGGCAGCCTTGTCTCACATAACTGGAGCTATTGAAGAGCAGCGACAGTTTGCAATAAATCCTCACTCTGCCTGGACTATGCGCGCACACCGCTTTGATAATGTTTACGCGTTTGATGTACTTATTTGATGTATTTTTAGGGTACAGCATTTATCAGCAGACAGTCCCAAAAAGCACACTGATCCACCGAACCGAAGGCACCTTTGATGTCGATAAACCCTACAACTGTGGGTCGCCAATAAATATGGCGGTACTTTAACAATTGACGTTAAGTGGAGATGTGGTCGCTGCAACCCCAACCTCGACGAAACCCGGCTTGCTCTTCGCGGACACTGCTGTCACGAGCACCAGTCAGTCTGTGGATAACGACGGAGACAAACAATGTAGAAGCGATCGGGATAAGACTGCTCCGTCGAGGATTGCCGCATTCCGAACGGGAGCGTCTTAAGAAAATTCGGCGGCTCCAGTCTGTCGGGAGTTTCCTGCTCCCAAAGTTTCACTAGCAACTCGTGTACACCGCCTACAAAAGTAGGTCCCCAAATTCGAAGAGGGCTGGGGTAATTCTATCTGCCCCTGCAGCATTATGCAATTTCAACAGCCTGATCTCACGTTCGAGTTCTGCGTGTGAGGGATGATTTAAGGAGACGGTCCCTGGAGAAAAGCACCCAAGATCCGAAAGAGAAAGCGATAACTCAGATTGGTTAAACTGCCCTACAAAGTGTTCGGCGCAACGCTCCAAGCGTTTTGACAGACTGTGGACCGGTTGCCCACTCTCGTCGAGTATTGTCTCGCTAACACTAGGTCTCCTGCTACCTGTTTCCTGTATCAGACGAAATAACTTACGATGATTACCAACGGCAGCGGCGGTTGTTTCCATTTCCGATGCACGATGAGACCACCAGGCTTTGCGATTTCTCTTCAGGCTAACACGTAGTCTTGCCCTGAGATTTCTGTGAATCTCATTGTATTCGCTTCCAGCCGGAATAGGTCGGCGAGCATCTATAAGTTCCAGAGAATTTGTAGAGACCCAATGTCGAAGTTGGCAATTTGATTTGCCACATGTAGACATGCCTGATGATAGTAACATTTGATGAATATGCGATCAGTGATCTTCAATGGTGTTCAGTGGACGCTTACTCAGCCCAGATGCCAGTGTACTTTGATACGCATTCAGAACACCTGGCTTCGCCAGTTGGCTGGTGTCAATGCAATCAGAGCGACGTTGCGGACCTCCGCCGAAACGCACTCGAAGGTCAGCACACAAAAGAGCGTGATCGATGACTACGTTGATACTCCAAATCGAGCGACAGTTTTGGACACAGCATCTCCAGCGGTAACTAATCGCGATGTGATCGATTTGAGTCCATAGCTGGTCCGAGGCTGGCGGGCGCTAAGTCCCTCTTCTGCGGGTGTCATGTCGAAAGTTGATGCGCGCGAGAAAGAGGCGAACATCTTCACACAAGTGTAGCAACCGCTCACCGTTATATCAATACGGGAGCCGCCCAGATGTAGCTCATCAGAAGACAATTTGCTGACTTGGGCATTTAGATCACCAGCAAGCACCACAGTATCCGTGCTTCTTCTGTAACGAAGATCGTTAAGTTGGTGGTAGAAATCATCCTCCACCGAGTCAAGGCTGCAGGTTGTGGGGGCGCGAGCCGCAACGGTAAACAGGTACAGGATGAAAAAGAGAAAGAGAGGGAATAAGAAGGCGGGAAGACCTGAGCAGTAGCATCCAAACACTTATACACCCTGTTCGATGTAGCAGATAGGGCACCGTTTATTATCCTCTGCGACGGTCAGTGCATTAAGAGATTGTTAGAAAAGAAAAGTTATGGTTTATTGGTATCTGTAGCTCCCTATTATTTCCCAGGCTTTTTTCGGTATGCCCGTTCATGCCAAATCCTATACTCAGAGTACCGCGATAGGGAGTGTGTTGAACGAAAGTTCTGGGAGTCGACTTTCTTAGTTTTTGAGTATTGCTGATATCGGAAGGTGAATTATTTGTAACAAAAATGATCAAAAACCTCACGATGTGGGTGCGAATGAACAAGGCTTATTCGGCATGACCCCATTATCTTTCCAATGAGGAGCAGTTATGTTTGCTTCATGTTGAGTGGGGTGCGACTACGTGACTCGCAGGTAAAGGATAGAACAGGTAATTATTAGCAATGGAACCTAGGTAAATGAAAATATAGCAAAACAAATAAATAGAATGGAAAAGTCAATGAATTCGGTGTATCGAAGGAAAATGTAGCCTTACCGGTGACAATGGACTCCATCAGGTCGATCACAAACAATAAGGCTCGATGGAGTCGCAGCAAGGTCCGACAACCACCTGAATAATTACTTTTCATGGTATCTGACATGCCGGAATCAGCCTCGTGAGCACACATACTGCGGATGCTCCGATAGGTTTGCGGCTCTTGACTATTATGTCGATATAGGATACGAAGCTTGTTGTCCACATCCCGAACGACAAAATAGAACACTGTTCCGAGACATGAGAGCAGCCTCGAAATAAGTAGTGATAAAAAGTGGCAATCTGAAAGTACTTGGAAACTTCAGTGTATGCATCGCAATATTCTCGGAGAAGAACATCATCCTCGCATAAGCACATATTGAACTTTCGGTGAACTGCATAGATGTCGAAAATAGCCATGACGTAAAAAAAGCAGATAATAATGCAAGAACGCTCGGCGAAGTTTTGTGAGTGCGGAAACTGGATGTTCCTAGAAGCTAAAACGTCAGTGAGGGAAAAGAAAAAGGTGAATTCAACTTGGAAGATTTGGATTAGTAATCAGTGAAGAAGAGGCTATGTCTGTTGCCTACGAATAGTTCAAGCAAAACAACGGTGTAATGATGCCCATTCAGCAAGCCTGTTCAGATTCTAGCGACGAGAACCCGATTCATTGTGTTGCTGGCGAAGCTCATTCAAAGATCGAGGTGTTTGCGATGTCGAGCTAACCGGGGCTACTCGAATCAGAGCCAATGAATAGCCGCATGAGCTTAGTTCGAATGTCGAAACGCTAAAGTAGTAGATATAGTCTGGAGCCAAGATGTCACTTAGTTAGCTCGGCACATGTTTAAATTTGCCGATGTTCTGAGAGGGAATAACTCCCAGCGGGAAATTTCAGCATTAATGCTGATGAGTTTAAGATCTTTTGAACAAGTGCTAACCACGAACACCACATAAGCGGCGCAACCTAGTGCTGTGCCAACCGGTGCCCATTGAGCAATGTCCTACTCCAGGTTAAGCTTGATTACCTTACTATCAGTCACAGACGGCGCAAAGTAGTTAAGGATGGAAGGATGGCTTTCCGTGCATATTTGCATCAGTGTCATGTTTTACTGTGTGACTAACTGGATTCGCTTGTTCGGCTTCAACGAAGCATTCAATTTGCAAAACACTTGTTAGTCATCTGTATTCGTAATATTACAGGATATTAGTCAGAATCGAAGCATCGGCTGCCACTGACGAATAAAGTGGATGTAACGAAGACGGATTCGAACCTTCTCCAATGCGCAAAACGCTTACGCCATCTAGCTTCGGTCGTCAGAGTAGTAGATAAATTGCAAGGCCGCAAATAGTTAAAAACTTTGGTAATCATCCTAAAAATGCCCGAAACACCAAGACAGTGTTTAAATAAGAGCTTTAAGACTAATCGGGGGCGCGGCAGATGAGGCCGGTTCGCAAAAACGGAAAATGCTAGCGATATTTGGAACAGTTGGCTACTTCTTCAACTCGTTTAAACAGAGGATGTAAGGAAGAACTCAGTGAACCAAAAAATGAGCGTGACCCGTGATCCGCATGGAAGCCCGTAGAGCCCCCCGCCTTATTACAAGCGTTAGTTGCATGACCTGAACTAAATTAGGGTGCTAATATTATGACTCCATGGATGAGACATCGGGCACAAAGAGGTGGCTCTGAATTGAAACAGTCGTTGCTAGACGATTGTAAGACACAGGAATCTAGTGCAGAATGTGTGGACGTATCCTTTCAAGCAAATAATTGCACATCTTACTGGTGATTTTTGTTGGGTCAACGAGTAGTCGTGAAAAGTACAGTAAGACAGAGTTGTGGCAAGACGCAGTATGAGAAAATAAGACTAAAATAACAGCATTTAGAAAAAACAGCTGGCGCTTTCGACAGTTCACCGTGTAGAGGGTGAAGGGTCGTTAAACGAAAAAAATAGTACAAACGTCTACATATTTGTTGACAATAAGATCAACAGGGACCTTTTAGATGACAAACAACGCGTAGTCTTTTTGAGCCTGGCCCGCAGTCTTAAGGATCATAAACCTGTCTTGTAACATGAGGACGCGGGTTCGAGCCTGCGCATGGACAGGGAGACCCTCACAGTATCCTCAGCCCGCGTGCGACTGTTGGTGGCTGCGCCGCAGCGAAGCGTCGGTACTGCGTAGCGGCGTAATGCTGATGCTTTGCTTCTTTTGCTAACCCTGTGTAACGTTTCAGCGACATGAGTAGGCCTACATAGGTTTCGGGATATAAGACCCCCAGATGATTGACAGTTAAGGTCCTGGGTATGAGTTGGTCACTCACTGTCAGCAGCATTCGAAACAGTTTGTGGCTTATCATCCTGAGAAAAGGGAACGTCATCTCATATGATCTAGAAATATTCCAAATGTGGTGACGGCCACAGCACAAACTCATCCAGACCACACTGAAGAGTCTATGGTTAAACCATTGGAGTAATACATGCCATAATGACATCATCAGCATACCTGCATCCAATAAAACTGTACGGTATGGCAAGTTTTGTAATATTTCGAGAAGTTGGGGGAAATCGCACCTTTGAAAGCACTACAACTTGAGCAAAGTGTAGAGGACTTTGATCCGTCAAGCTGCTGTCGCAACCAGACTGGACCTTAACGTGATATGACGATTTGCACACCTCGTCGAACCATTGAGCTATACTTGGTGTGACCCATGGCCCATTGAGAGCTAATCCTACCAGGGTGGTCAATGGTAAGATGCCAAACGAACTCAGTCTCTGGCCCTCCAGGTTGGTGATTTGAAATGGGACGGCGTCCAATTCTGTAAAATCGAATCATTGCCCTACGGACAAGCTCTTGAGCCAAAGGCGTTGGTTGAGGACCTTAATCGTTGTCCTGTCTAGGTCTAGGCGCACTGACAGTATCTCAACCCTCGTTAGCCATGACCACTTCATTAAACTTCAACCATATCCTGCGTTGGCCGTCGCGCAGCTTATCAAGGACCGGCTTATCTGCTGCATACAGCAAGGCGGACAAGTGAAAGCATCCTACTTCTGGCACCCCCATCCTTTCCTTCCCGCCTGTTGCTCTCATTCCCCTCCTAGTCTCATTACTAGACAGGTGTTCAGTATGGGTCTTAGCAGATAGACGGAACAGAAAGGGCAGACTTAGTATGGAACCGTTTTATGAAAGCTTCCTACGTTAAGTGACTAGAAATGCCAAAACGAAAAAGAAATGAAATAAGGAAGGGAAGGGAAGGTCACTGTCAACTAATCATGTGAGCGTATGTGTTTACGAATCAATATTCAATGTATACGTGACACACCCCGCTTCCGCGGTAAAGACCGTAGACTCCGGGTTAATACTGATCAACTGGTTTAGGCGTGCGTTTTGAGTGTCTTAATTGTGGTTGTTCCGCATCCATTTGAGGTGTCTGGTTTTGTAACGCAGATTCGCTGTCCGCTTTTACATTGGTAGAAGTCAATTTTTGAGCCCGCTCATGCGATTCGATTGAGCGTGGCCGAACATGGGCAAATTGGTGGCGCATCACACGGCCGTCTTTCAGCTGTAGCTCCGCTTGGTTACCCGTTGATGACATAAGTGTAGTAGGTTACCAGCCTGTTTCGTGAGGCAGTTATGAGTATACCGCATCAAAATCAATGAGACACATTTCCTCCGGCATCTTTTCATCCCCCACATTTTCTCCTGCTTTTCCTCTATTCTGCTTCGAGGGTTCGGAAAAAGTGAGTGCAGGCTTGTTTGTAGTGGCCGGCCAAACATTAATTAAGCGCGCGACTTCCCTGTCGACTCAGTCGGTGTCGTGCGGAAATAGAACAGGAGACGATCCAACTTAGTTTGTCGAGTTCCATGAGTCTGCTTGATGAGACCTTGTTTAAGTCTGGACTGAACGTTCTGGCATACTATTCGACGCGACATGGTACGGCGCAGACTTGAGGTGCTGTTTTTCATTGTTATCCAGGAACTGATAATCTTCACTGGTAAATGGTGTCCAGCTGTCGATGCATACCGTCTCTGGCACACAGAAATTGGCGAATACGGAGCGCATATTCGCAACCGTGGCTGCGGAATTCTCATGTGAAACTGAATGTACTACTATCCAGTTAGAACGGGCAGCAACCAAAAGTAGACACATCATACCATTGACCAGGCCAAAGTAGTCCGCGTGTACCCGCTGCCAGGACTTCTCCGGCCAACGCCCTGGATGTATCGATCCAGGAGATGTTCGTCATTGGCTTTTCTGACATTGTTCGTAATTTTTCAGCAGCCGCTCTATATATTTTTCGATGTTCGGCCACCGACAATAATCACGTGCCGGCGCCTTCATCTTGTTCATGCCAGGGTGTGCGTCATGTAGCTCTCTCAGCAACTGGGATCGCAGATCGTACGGTAGAAGTTGGAGCGCTCCAAAAGATAACTATTATCTTTTGTGTACAATTCCACTGATGACCAGCTGTACACTATTCTTACTTGTTTCAATCTACCTTACGTTCATGTTAACCTACATCAGGCTGGACACTTGACCCTCCTGTAAGTTGCCGTGCTAACGTGTTCCTCCTGTCTCGCTTCATCCGTCCATGTCTTTTGTAACCCATCGAATATAGTCCGCAGTGTCCGACCTCAATTGCCTTCTGATATCCATGCTCGATCTAGCGCACCGTCTCCGAGTAGTATTTATTAGTCTTACAAATTAGTGAACCCGATTCGCACGCATGAATGTAAACCTTTCTCGTCGTTTGTATTTTTGGCCAGTTCCTTCCTTTTTGGCGATTATATACGTGCAATTACTTGATGATTGCCTAATTTTAGCAGCTTCATCGTGTATTTGTTCATCCTTGATCTTCTCGACTCACAAATCGAAAGCGCAGACATGCTATCTTTGGCTGTTCCAGGTTCCATGGAAAACACCAAGACTTAGTTTGCGATATCCGAGATGGAACTGGAAAATAAGGGCAATCGGATGGACCGTTTGAGGTACAAGCAGTTCGTGGCACACTTTCCTTGGTCGGTTGCGACGCTGGTTCGGAAGATGCTACCCAGTCCATCAAATGAAACAAAGTATAAAACAATGGAATTACAGCCCAGCTCATCATCATCCTCATCCTCATCCTCACCATCATCATCATCCATCATCATCATCATCATCATCATCATCATCATCATCATCATCATCATCATCATCATCATCATCATCCGTACGACGACCGATGTAAAAAACTAGGGATGTACACCGTAGCTTATCGTCGAATGCGGGTTAACCTCATCATGACGCACCGAATATTAGATCTAGGAGATTGCCCATATTGAGACCACTGCTTTATCTGCGCCCACCAAGCAGCACACGAGGACATCGGTATAAGCTTGTCGTACCGGATGTGAAGCGGGTCGCTCACCAACTCTGTTTCG